CTTAGATTTGATAATTCATAATGTTTAGGGTTTAATTAAAATTTGGTTGATTGAATGGGGACTCTTTTCAATAAATCCTGTGGACCCAAAGTTTAACTGTATACATTAAATATGAATAGAGACTCTTTTCAATAAATCCCGTGGACTCAAAGTTTAACTGTATACATTAAATACCAACAGGGTAACAAAGTCAGAATCGGAAGAAATCCCTAGATGAGTTGATAAGGAGCATGGTCAACATACCGAGAGGTTGGGGGTTCGACTCCTTACCCATTCTAGAGATGTCAAAATGGGTCGGGTTATGTGGGTTAACCCGACCCAACCCGATTATTGACCTAAATGGTTTAACCCATTTGAATAATTTTTTTAAATGGGTTAAGTGGGTTTTAACCCATTCAACCCATGGGTTAAATGGGTTAAACCATTTAACCCATTAAAACCCACTATATTATCAGCATTAACATTTATATTAACTCATTCAACCCACTATATTATTATATAATAACTAAAATTCTTATATATAGATATATAAATAGTAATATACGTTGTATATATATTTAAATATATATTATATATGTACGTATATATAAACATATATATGTATGCGAATTAAAAAATATAATATCGGATTGAAAAGTTTGCTATCGTTTTTGAATCGAACCGAAATATTTGGTATCGTTTTTGAACCGAACCGAAAAAATTGGCACCGTTTTCAAATCAAAACGAAAAAAATTGATATCGTTTTCGAATCGAACCGAAAAACTCGTTACCGTTTTCGAATCGAACCATACCAAAAAGTTTAGAAACCTGATATCCAAAAAATCGGTATCGTTTCCGAACAACCAAAAAAATCGATAACGTTTAAATCGGTATAATTTTCAAATAGAATCCGATATATGTGTACGAACTAAAAAAAATATCTCAAAGATTATTATGTTTAAATGATAATAAGTTTATTGTGAGAAAATTAAATGGGTTAATTAGGTTGTTATGGGTTTTATGGGTTAACCCAACCCATATAACAATTATTATTGGGTTGACCCAACCCAAACCTATAATTTTTAAAACCCAAATGGGTTGGGCCCAAATGGGTTGGGCAACCCATATTGACATCACTAACCCGCTCACCTATCGGCTGTCAGTTACGGCTGATTTATCTTCCATGCGTGTGTTGAGTTTCCTGGGATCTCATGAGCGAATCTAATTCCTAAGAGATCGATTCTAGGGTTGTGCAGTGGAAGTAAAACAAAAAATTTTATAAAACCCTAGAACCATGCTGCTATTGAAAACGTAGAAACGTTACAACGCTTACCTCAATCGATCCGGGGCCTGTATCAACTGAAGAATTCGTCCGATCACTTAGGGAGGAAGATTACCTCGCCCTCTACACGTATCCACACCTCGGGATGGATTCCAACGATTGGAACTTGTCTGCTAGGACTCGAATCTCTATTCGGTTTTTTTTCGCACTTCGAGAAAAACGAGACTTAGAACTTGTTGAGCTTTTTGGATCTCACCAAAAACTCTCCAAGAACACCAAAAGTCGGCTGCTAAAAGACTCTACTCAATTAGGGTTCTAATCCCTTTCTTATAAAGTGATTTAACCCTAATTTCGGTTTAATTTTCGGAAAACCGGAACCTGGAACGGACGGTCCAGCATTGCACGTGGTTCGATCACGAAAGGCAGGAAGATTACCTCGCCCTCTACACGTATCCACACCTCGGGATGGATTCCAACGGTTGGAACTTGTCTGCTAGGACTCGAATCTCTATTCGATATGTGCACTTTGAGAAAACGAGACTTAGAACTTGTTGAGCTTTTTGGATCTCACCAAAAACTCTCCAAGAACACCAAAAGTCGGCTGCTCAAACTCTCTTCCGAATTAGGGTTTTAATCTCTTTCTTATAAAGTGATTTAACCCTAATTCGGTTTAATTTCGGAAAAACTGAAGCCCGGAACGGACGGTCCAGAGATACACGCGGACCGTCCGTTCCAGCACGTGGAACGGACGTTCCGCTCACGTGGACCGTCCGGTCTGGTTCGGGCGGACCGTCCGTTCTGGACTTTCTGGTCCGTCCGTTCCAGCCCCTTCCGTCTCGGTTTTTCGTCGTTTTCTCTCGTGCATTTGTCCTTCCCTGCGTGTGTGACCCTGTAGGCTCATTCGACATAGCAGTATAACCTGAAATCCCTATTTCGGGTATACAAGTCATAGGCGGTCTCTAGCAAGACACTATGACTACCTATCTCGAATAGAGTTGGTTCGTGATCTTACGAACACCAGTGATGATTCCGGCTGATGATCCTTTTGTATCGCGATATCATATGTCGAACATAAGGCATGGACAAGCCACCTTATCTGATTCGACTGCTTTCTCGTTCACTGAGTTTGACTGTCTGAAATAGACGACGTTCGTCTATAGTGCGGCCACACATTTCTACAGTCTCGCTCACACGAGGGGGCCAGCGATATCTCTCTCTTTTACGAGAGGTGCAAATCCCGTCTTGACTATCTACAATCCAGTACATGATTCGTTTCGTACCTGATATACGCCTTTATAGTCCTCCTGTTACGCAGGACGTTTGACGTAATCAAAGCACGCAACTCCTCATGTTGGATTCCGTAGATATCTCAGGTCTTAGGATCCAATCATGGAACCGTCATATGAGATTCAAGTCATGACGCTAGTCCATGTGACAATCTCATGTGGGTCAATCCAGTATTCCGTTCTCCAACGAATACCTATGATTGTGATCGTATCCAATACTTATGATCATCTATGTGATCATCAATCACACATCATACTAGTCTTATTATGTCGTTATTCCCATAACGACACAAGACTAGGGAGTTTAGTATCATTCATAATGATACATGGATTTCATAACAGATCTAGCATGCAAGAACATGTAATGAATAAAATACTCTCATAAAACCACATAGAAAGTATCAATACATCGAATGTATCTGAACAAAGCTCATAATCAGTACATCATAGAGCACTAAACCAACAGCGTGTGTTGCAGGCTCGTGCGTGTGGGCTTGAGTTTACTCGGTCAGCGCGCCCGAAGGGTAGCAGCCGGGGTTCCCAATGTATCAAAAGAAAAAGGTCAGAATCTTTGAAGTGGAAACACAAAACTAATGGAAACGTGAATAAATGGAAATTTGACAACCCAACACAAAGAGAGGTGAACCGAACACATAATCACAATAGAAGAGGTTGTCGAGTCTTGTGCTAAAGAAAGAGCATATAGTGAAATTGGTGAGAGTTATATGGTGAGAATCATTGAAAGAGTGCGAGTTGTATTTGAGTTGACGTCTTCAATTAAAAGGTGGACCGTTCAAATGATCTAGACGTATATGAGATTATGTGGGGTATACGTGACATATATAGTGTATTCATTTGTAGAAGTTTTATGGTACGAAATTTTATTCAGGAAAAATGAAATAGGGGGAGTTGAATGTTACGCAAAAGAAATTGAATTGTATCAAAAAAATAGAATCAATTATGCAGTTCTTGAATATTGTGTCGTAGGGTATACTTTTTCAATTATGATTTACGAAAATAAAATAAATTTATAAAAAAAGAGTATTCTTGCTAGATAGTTAGTGTCAAAAGACAAGTCCATTGAGAAAATGACATTTTCCTACACGAATTTATCAAAATGTGACATTTTCCTACACGAATTTTTAATTTGACAAATATCTATACTCAATTAACAAATTTTCCAAATACCTACACGAATTATCCAATTTTAGTGCAATTAACTACACAATCCGAAATTATCAATTATGATTTACGAAAATAAAATAAATTTATAAAAAAAGAGTATTCTTGCTAGATAGTTAGTGTCAAAAGACAAGACCATTGAGAAAATGACATTTTCCTACACGAATTTATCAAAATGTGACATTTTCCTACACGAATTTTTAATTTGACAAATATCTATACTCAATTAACAAATTTTCCAAATACCTACACGAATTATCCAATTTTAGTGCAATTAACTACACAATCCGAAATTATCAATTAATTGCTGACGTGGAAGACCACGTGACAGCTCACGTGGCATGCCACGTGGGATTTTTTGCCATATCAGCACGAATTAAAAAAAATAAAAAATATAAATATATTTGTATGTATGCATACATATATATATATATATATATAAAATTTAAATTTATACAATATATATTTTTTAAAATAAAAAAATTAAATTTATATACATACAAATATATAAATATATATGTGTATATTCATATATATATATACAAATACAAATATAAACATATATATATACAAATATATATACATATACATATACATACATACAAATATATTTACACATGTGTATGTGTATATATAAATATATTTGTATATATATATATTTGTATAAAATTCCAATTTATACAATATATACTTTTTAAAATCTATACGAAATTTAAATTTATATACATACAAATATATAAATACATATATATGTTTATATATGTATTTTTTATTTTTTATTTTTAGGTAAATTTTTATTTTTTTAATTTGCGCTGACATGGCAAAAAATCCTACGTGGCATGCCACGTGAGCCGCCACGTGGCCTTCCACGTCAACAATTAATTGATTAATTTTGGATTGTGTAGTTAATTGCACTAAAATTAGATAATTCGTGTAGGTATTTGAGAAATTTGTTAATTGAGTGTAGACATTTGTCAAATTAAAAATTCGTGTAGAAAAATGTTACATTTTGATAAATTCGTGTAGGAAAATGTCATTTTTCCTTATAATTTATGAAAATTAAACGAATAAAATACAAAAAAAATACAATGATTTATGAAAATACAAGGAAAAAAATAGAAAAAGACTATTTTTTATATAATATTTGGTCCAATAGAATTTGAATCTAGGTGCTAAAAAACAGAAAAAGACTATTCTTATATATATTTCTCGTTTATTTCTATAGAATCAACTGTTTTACGCAACGATTTAAAAAATTAAAACATACGATGTCAATCTTAATGACAATCATAATCACAAATATTTGATGACACCAAATTTTCACATGCATTCTGGAAATAGGAAAAAAAACAAGGAGATGACAAAACAACAAGCAAATCTTAGGTTTATATCCGTGACGTGCGTATTACTATCGAGCCTTAGGACCTAACTCAGTAGCATAAGTCATGTTCTCTTCAATGGAACCCTTCGAGTCCATGTCTCGGCTTGTCCCGACCCTCGAGTTCTCCGACGCCAAACACTGGTTTAGTTCGATCACAACTTGAGACATGTTCGGTCTTCTCGATGAAGAAGGATTCACACACGACATTGCAACTTCAACCACTTTCCAAACAGAGTTCTTGTCGTAATCTCCGTATAGTTTTGCATCCATAATGTTATTGATGTCTCCTCTTGTAAGCATTAACCCCACCCATTCCGCTATGTGAGGCTTTTCACGAGTTTGATCGATCACTCGTGTGTTCGTGATGATCTCCAATAGTACAATCCCGAAACTGTACACGTCGCTTTTCTCACTCAACCAGTTTGTGTGGTAATATCTACAAAAAAAAATAACATAGTTGATCGTTTTCAGCTAACGAAGAATGAAATAACAATATTGGAGATATTTATCACGTTTTTTTTTTATCGATAATATACTTACTCGGGATCGAGATATCCCGGAGTTCCTGCAACAACTGTTGAAACATGAGTTTGGCCTTCGGTCGGGAAGGATCTAGAAAGTCCGAAATCTGCCAGTTTGGCTTGCAAGTGCTCATTCAGCAATATGTTCGTAGTTTTAACATCTCTATGAACTATTGGCGGTTTGCATCCGTTGTGCAAGTACTCCAACCCTACGAGAAAAAAACATGAACACGAAAACTTATATATATATATAACACATAAACATATTGATTAGGATTCATGTTCACTTCTCTAAAGTACTCAAATCTGTTAGCTTTTAAAAGAACTATATAAAATGGACCACGCTCAGTGATACTTCCCGAATTCACAAGTAACACTCATAAACTCTTTCATATATATCCATACGACTTTTCTCTCTTACAACACTTTTCCTTCATGTGTTTTTCCTTGTGTTTTGGACACATCCTACACACCCATATTTATACTAACAAAAGGCACAAACTTCATACATGCATACATGCATTCAACCCTCAATTTCCTCACCCAATAATTCTCTCAAACTTCTAGACTAATTAAGACACATTGAAAAACCAACTCTTGACTATGGATGCCTTGAATCAAGATTATTATTCAACATTCCCTCCTAAGCTTGATTCTCTCAATCCAAGCTTGTAACGCAGCTTCTCAAAAACCTCCTTCTTCAACGACTTCGTAAAGATGTCCGCAACTTGGTCTTCAGTCTTCACATGTTTCACTTGAACTTCTTTCTTCGCAATGCACTCACGAATAAAATGAAACCAAGTATCGATGTGCTTACTTCGATCGTGATACACCGGATTCTTTGCCAAAGCGATTGTCGATTTGTTATCAACATAAATCTCCGTAGGGTCACCTTCTCCAAACTAAAGTTCCTCTAACAATCTCCTGAGCCATATCGAATGACAAACGCAAGATGTCGCAGCAACGTACTCAGCCTCACAAGTCGATAAAATCACAATCGGTTGTTTCTTCGATAACCATGTGAATGCTGTCGAACCATAGTAGAAAACAAACCCAGATGTACTTTTCCTGTCGTCAGGATCTCCTGCCCAATCACTATCACTAAAACCTCTCAAATCGCCTTCTCCGGATGATGGATAAAACATGCCCATACTGAGAGTTCCCTTAACATACCGAAGAATCCTCTTAGCCACTTTCAAATGATAAGATGTCGGTTGCTCCATATGTCGGCTAACAATGCCAACCGCAAACAAAATATCTGGTCTCGTACATGTCAAGTACCTCAAGCTTCCAACCAAACTCTTGAACATAGTGGGATCGACAGCATCTCCTTCACAATACTTAGACAATTTCTCTCCAACTTCCATGGGAGTGCTTATCGGATTACACTCCATCATGTTGAACCTTTTCAAAACTTGTTTCGAGTATTGCTCTTGTGAGATAAAAACACCATCACCTCGTTGATGCACTTCAATACCAAGATAGTATGCCATCAACCCGATGTCTGTCATCTCAAACTCTTTTGTCATCGCCTTCTTAAATACTTCAAACATCTGAGGATCACTTCCTGTGAAAACCAAATCATCCACATAAAGACATGCGATCAAAACATCACCTTTGTGTACCTTCACATACATAGCATACTCATGGGGGCATTTTATGAACCCGTTCTTCCGAAAATACTGATCAATCCGACTATTCCAAGCCCTTGGTGCCTGCTTCAAACCATATAGAGCTTTTTTCAACTTTAGAACACGATCCTCCTGACCTTGAACAACGTATCCCTCAGGTTGTTCGATGTAAACTTCTTCTTCAAGAACTCCATTCAAGAATGCTGACTTCACGTCCATTTGGTATAATTTCCAATGCTTTCTAGCTGCAAGTGAGATAAGCAACCGTATGGTTTCAAGACGTGCAACCGGAGCAAATACTTCGTCATAATCAATACCTGCCCGTTGCTTGTAACCTTTGACCACGAGTCTGGCCTTGTACCTTTCAACCTCTCCTTTCGAGTTTCTCTTGATCTTGAATACCCACTTCACACCAATGGGTTTATGTCCTCTCGGCAAAGTAGTCAACTCCCACGTCTCATTTTTCTTTATGGCCGTGATTTCATCATCCATGGCCTTTCTCCACTTTTCATCCTTTGATGCTCCAACAAAGTTGATTGGTTCTGTATCTGCAAAGAGACAGAACAAGGTCTGATTTTGATTAAGATCATAAATATCTTGCAAACTCCTTGTTCCTCTTGGTCCAACAGCGTCAAGGCTATCTTCCGCTGATGCAGATGTCCCTGAACTGGACCCGACTTCAAAACCCGATTATTAGCAGAAACATTATTTCTATTTCATGTCTGGATTTGGATGGTTTTCGATTTGTGATTGAGAACTCGAGTTTGATGATTTATCGAGACGATATTTACTATGGTAATGGTTATCTAGTTAATGGTTCGGCTAATCTTGAGTTTCTTCTGGATGGGATCATACAACTTGTAACCTTTTGAGTGTTGACTGTACCCCACAAAGATGTATTTCGAACTCCGATCATCAAGCTTCTTCCTTTGTTGTTCTGGAACATGAACATATGCAAGACTACCAAAAACTTTTAGATGAGATACATTTGGTTTGTATCCGCTCCATGCTTCTTGAGGTGTCGCATTCCACACACTCTTCGTTGGACATCGGTTTAACAAATAAACCGCACAGTCAACGGCTTCAGCCCAAAACTCTTTCGGTAGATTCTTACTCTTCAACATACTACGGACCATATTCAAGATAAACCTGTTCCTTCTCTCTGCAATGCCATTCTGTTGTGGTGAATATGGAATGGTAAGCGGCCTTCGAATACCATTCTCATCACAAAACATCTTGAACTCCTTTGATGTAAACTCACCACCTCGATCTGATCTCAACGATTTAATTTCATAGCCACTCTGTCTTTCAACAAGGGCCTTAAACCTCTTGAATGCCGAAAACACCTCTGACTTCTCCTTCAAAAAATAAACCCATGTCTTTCTACTATAATCATCGATGAACAACAAGAAGTACCTGTTATTCCCGAAAGATAGCGGATCAAGAGGGCCACACACATCGGTGTGTATCAACTCAAGGAGTTCCTTTGCTCTTGTCAATGACTCCTTTGGAAAACTTTGTCGATGTTGCTTTCCCACCAAGCAACCTTCACACACTTGGTTTGGCTGATCAATGGGTGGTAAACCATTCACCATCCTCTTTGTTGACAACAACCTCAAGCCACCAAAGTTAAGGTGCCCGAGCCTTAGATGCCACAACCAAGAGTCCTCTTCAAAACATGCCTTCAAGCATTTTCCCACATCCGTTTGAATGTTTATTGGAAACATTCGATTTTCATCCATCGGAACACAGGACAGAAGTTTTCCGTTGCCATCTCTAAGATAGATACTCTGATCCCTGGATGAAATGTTATAACCTTTCTCAAGTAACTGACCAATACTGAGAATATTAGCTTTCATACCTGGCACATAGTACACATTTGAGATGTACTGATGGCCTCCATTCTTTAACTTGATCAAGATCTTGCCTTTTCCTTTGACGGAGATTTTCGACAGATCTCTGAAAGAAATAGATCCTGTCACTGACTCGTCAATCTCCACAAACATATGACGATAACCACACATATGGTTGCTCGCACCGGTATCAAGATACCAAGTTTGTTGTGCTTCTCCGTCCGAGCTATTTCGTGCAAGCAACACCGTGTCTTCTACCACATTATTTTTCTCAGCATAGTTAACTTGCTCCTTTCTCTCATTTTGGCCTGCATAACACTCATAGGCATAGTGTCCATATTTGTGACAATTGTAACATTCAACATCACCTTTGTTGAACCTATGAGAGTTACCACGCCCTCTGCCAGATCATCCTCCTCGGTCAGAATAATTTTGGTGCCACAAATCTCCATCACCTTCTCGTCCACGGCTTCGACCGCGTCCTCTGCCACGACCACGACCACGACCGCGTCCACGACCACGACCGCGACCGCGACCGCTTTGATTCTGATCATCAAATGTCTTTTCACTGAGATTCACCTTCGCTTGGAGTACGTGCTCCATAGGTTCTTTGTTCCTCTTCTTAAATTTTTCTGCATGGACTTGTAGCTTTCCAGAGAGCTCGTCCACCGTCATGTCATCGATGACATTCGACTCCTCGATCGCAACCACGATGTGATCAAACTTCGGAGTGAGAGACCGAAGTATCTTCTCCACAATTCTACTAGCTTTCATCTTTTCACCATTACTCTCAAGTTGGTTAGTCACCGCAATCACTCGAGAGATATAATCAAATACTTCTTCAGATTCTTTCATTTGCAATGCTTCAAACTCACCACGAAGAGATTGAAGTCTCACCTTCTTCCCCTTATCGATACCTTTGAAGGAATTTGCCAAAGTATCCCAAGCCATCTTTGACGATGTGGCGTGTGCAATCTTTTCAAATATCGAATCATCCATGCTGAGTTGGATGAATGACAAGGCTCTTTGGTCCTTCACCTTTGCCTCCTTCGCCGCTTTCTTTACGTCGGAAGTCGCTGTAACCAAATCCTCCGGTTCATGATACTCCTCTTCGATTGCATCCCACACGTCTTGGCCTCCAAGAAACGCCTTCATTTGGATACTCCACCTCTCATAATTCTCCTTCGTGAGCTTTGGAATCGGGAAAGATATACTCGAGCTGGCCATTACGAACCACCGCTCTTATACCACTTTGTTAGCTCTTAAAAGAACTATATAAAATGGACCACGCTCAGTGATACTTCCCGAATTCACAAGTAACACTCATAAACTCTTTCATATATATCTATACGACTTTTCTCTCTTACAACACTTTTCCTTCATGTGTTTTTCCTTGTGTTTTGGACACATCCTACACACCCATATTTATACTAACAAAAGGCACAAACTTCATACATGCATACATGCATTCAACCCTCAATTTCCTCACCCAATAATTCTCTCAAACTTCTAGACTAATTAAGACACATTGAAAAACCAACTCTTGACTATGGATGCCTTGAATCAAGATTATTATTCAACAAAATCCTATCTTTAGGGTTGTGGATTGCTGATTCAACATGTACCTTGTGCAGCCTCTGCAACTATTTTCAGTCTAGTTCCCCAACTCAGAACCGAGCCACCACGTTTTCCTGCATTTCGACCGAGCAAACATGATCAAATCTGAAAAACTCGAATATACGATCCGATATCATTTTATTTCAAGGTGAACCTGCCAGAATTACCTGAGAGATGCTCTTTCAAGTCCCCATTTGCCATGTATTCATATATGAGAGCCAAGTTATCACCTTCATCGCAATATCCAACAAGAGTAACCAAATTCTTATGGTGAACTCTCAGAAGAAGTTCGACCTATTATGCCATCGAAAACACAATCAGGATTGATATCACATACTTTTTTTTTGTTACAAAATATAATTTGATGAAAAGAAAGGGATATTTTGGCGCAAATACCTCGGCTTTGAACTGTTTGTACCCTTGAGCTGACGACTGAGAGAGAATTTTAACGGCAACTTGTTCGGTACCACCATTCACATGTCCATGGTAGACGATTCCAAACCCGCCTTTCCCGAGAATTCTTTGGAAGTTGTTCGTCATTGCTTGAACCTCTATATAAGTAAACCTTCTATTTTTCGGTACGAACGATGGTTGAGATGAATGGGGCGATATACCATCTGGTGTCGTTGTATACAGCGAGGGAACTCGAGCTGTACATTAAAATTTAATTATACGCTATATGGTACAAGATTTTTATTGTGTTGATGAGTCTGTTGAAGATACGTACCACTTGAACTAGTTTGCTTTTTCTTCCTGAAAATGAAAAATAGAGAAAATGCAGCAGCGAGAACGGCAACGGAAGCAACTGACGCCACAGCCGGTACTACGACATTATTTTTGTGATGTCTACCGTTTCCGCCGAGATTATCACATGGAATAGACTGGCAGAGAAGCTGTGGATTCCCTTGGAGTCTTAAGAAAAACAAGGTTTGTTCAATGTATTGAATAGTTAAAGGATTTGGATAAATATCAGAAGGAGAAATGGCTTTACAAAATCTTACTTTAGCACTAGCCCTTCGCTCTGTTTATCTAGTAGGGCTTGAGGGACTGAACCGCTAAGGTTGTTCCCGCTTAAGTTTCTATCAAGGCACAGAAAAAGATTAAACATATCAGCAGATTGTGGGGAAAATCTAAGATGAATCTGTCCGTGAATCCTCTCGAGAAACTTACATGACCGATAGCGATTTCATTTCAGCTAGAAACTCGGGAACTTCTCCCGACAAAGTGTTATTCGACAAGTCTCTAGAAATTACAAAGACAACAATGCCATTGAATCCGATCCAATTTGTGAAAAAATAAGAACGATCACGCCTTTATTAGATATACTTACAGTATTTGTAGCTGGGTCAGATTCTGAATGCTAGAGTCTATGGTCCCCGTCAATAGACTTGAAGACAAGTTCCTAATGATATGATCATAGATATATACAACCTTAAGAAACTTAGAAAACACATGTAATATGATCAAGACAATGAAAGAATAATCTTACAAGGAAATGATTCTTGGTGCGGTCGAATTATCGACGTAGCTACAGTTCAGACCTTCCCATGCAAATTGCTTAGGGACGCACGGATCTCCTTGCCAGCTAATTCTACTCAACTCGTAAGCATCTTTCACATTCTTGATAGCAACCACTGCAAAAAACAAAACAAAAAAAAAACACGACAAAAATCAACATTATAGTTCCTTTTCTACTTAGGAAAATATTCCTCGAACGTCATACCATCATCTTGGTCTGTTCCTGACAGGGGAAACTCTATCACGGTGAAAGCCTCCACAGCGTTAACAAGAGGCGGAAGAGTCGAGTTCGAGGACTTAACAAGCTGCCAAATGCATTGCCCTCCATCGCATTTCTCTGGTATATTATCCAACAACGTTTCTATCTTCAACATCTTAGGGCTGTACGGTCCGAAAGTGTTGTTTCCATTGAGCAAGACGTTGAAAGCCCTAGAGTCGTTTGCGCGTAGATTCTGAATCTCCGCAAAGTGAATGTACATGTAAAACAGCGCCGTTACAGGCTGTAGGGCCCACGTAAGGGTCAGTGGCGAGGTGGCGTTCGTGGGTGTTGCGGCCGTGGCCATAGCTGTTTCTGGTACGTTGTATATGTTGGAAGAGTTTACGGTGAGAGAAGTTGTTATCTGCGTCCACTCTGGTTGGAAAAATGAATACCATCTACGATCGTAGACATCGTCAGGATACCTACGATACACGCACGAAATCTTGTATTAGACTCGGTTCGACATGTGCCTGGTCGTTTTGAACTCATCTCGTCACGCTCGTTTTCAAACGAGGCAGAAAAACTTTGGCTCAGTTCGACTCACCAATTTTCCGAGTTAACCGAATCGGTTTGCGAATTATAAACAAATATAATATTTTTTATTTATATTATGAAAAATATTAAATAAAATAAAATTTTAATATTAAAATATCAGACTTCAGTATATATAATCAATAAAAAATTAATTTATGTATTAATGTTTTATAAAATATATAATAAATACAAATATAAATATTATATAAAAATATTCCAACTCGTAGTTCGTCGAACTAGCTCATCAAGCACACGAGTTATGGCGAGGTGGTTCGTTAGACTCGTTTTCAAACGAGCTTTAAAAATATTATATCAATTGACTAAAAAACAATCCGATAACGAGCCGACTTAAAATTTGAGATATTTTGACACCTCTACGTTTAAATTTGAAAACCTATATATATATATTTGTAAAAATCTTAAATAAAAATTTAAATAATTTCTTAATATGAAAATGAAAAATATTGCCGAATTTTCACGGGGACGATAATAACGTTAAGATAGACAGAATTTCGAATAGAGCTCTCTAAATATAAATATTTTATGTGTTGTATAATCCTTTCACACGTCGTTTAATGTTGTTATTATTCGGTAATATTTTAAAATTATATATATGTATATAATATATATATATATATATATATATATATAAGGTTAAATAATTGAAATTTTTTTGACAAGTCCTAGTCAACGATGGAAAAAGTTATGGCCTGAAAGTTTGAAATTGCTCCAAAATACAATGTTCAACAGCGATGTTTTGCCCAATGGACAAACTGAGAATAATTCCTCAACTCTATATATTATATAAAAAATTGTTAATTAGTTAATTTATGAAATCTTGAAATTTCTTGATAAACTTTATATATATATATACACGAATAAAAATACGCAATAAGAAGGATGATCGAACCGAAACCGCCGAAATATCACCTCTTTATATGAGAAAATTTGATTTTTTTCCCCTATATTCATTTACGAAATCTATAAAAATGCATCAATCTCAAATAGAAAGAGTAATAATTAATGCGTACCTTATACTCTGACCCGAATTGCTGAAATACACTCGAAACAAGTTCTTGAGAGAGCCGCTCTCGGTAACATAAGTACCATTTCTCAACGGCCGAAGCTCTAAGGCTGATATCATCGGATCCGTTGTTCCTGTCTTAACAAGACACACCTCCAAAGTGTTCGAACTCGGCACGTGAATGATCTCCTTGACCGTACCATTTGCTCGTCCGTTAAAATCTACCGTCGTCCATATATTCGGACCAATGTATAGATCGAAATTAGGGTAATTGTTTTGGCCGTCGTAGTTTCCGTACACAAACGTTGCCTTGATGAGATATTTCACGCCCTGTGTTACGCTCATGTTGTAGCAGTTTCGCGTTCCATCGGGGAAGTATCTAAGCGTCAAGTACGATTTTATGAAGTTTGGGTCGAACACTGCCTGGATTCTACCGCTTTTTCCGGTTTGGACGAAACCCTCGTCGGATGTGAATATTAAACCGGTTATGGGTTCGGTATAAGGAGAACCGTTTGGAGACAACCCGCAATCCAAACTAATGAATCCTGAAAAACGTATGAAGAAAAAGAAGAAGAATAACTTCATTTTTTCCCCTCCGAAATCGAAAGGTTTTGTGATACTACGGAATCGAAATCAGAAAATGCGAAAAGAAAGTGTATATTGTACCTTGTTGATTTTGAGCTTGGACAAGAGTTGTAAGGGCAATTGTTACAATAAACCCAAATACAAGCCTTTGAAGAATCTGCATTTTCTTCAACTTCCCAAGGAGATGGGGACGAGAACCGCAAAAAGCTCTCAAATATGAAAACTAGGGGCAGCCTCGTTCATGGGATGATGCATGTATTATATTTAATCGGGCAAATATTTCATATTTTGTATTATATGAAATTATAATTCTGCTCGATATTGTCCACGTTTTAACAAGTCAACTTTGCAAAGAAAATAAATCGAGAAATATTAAATGGAAAAAGAAACTAATATTGAACGCGTAAATGCTTGGAAAAAAAATGCTTAGGCAAATTGATGGTGGAAGACTCTCCCCGTCTCATCTGGGGCTCTTGGTCAGTCAACTCCATAGCTGTCGTGTCTATATATTTATATATTTTTTTATTTAACAAAAAAAGATATACTAAACGTTTACTTTGACTTTTAGTGTAGGAATTTCAACTTCACCGTATATGGAAAAACCTAGTAAGCGACTTCCCTGAACAAAAGTTGTTTTAAATTCAATTTAAAGTTATTTTCTTAATTTTATAGTGGGTTTATAAACTATTTCTTCCCAATTATTGAGAAAATGGCGTCTCTCTCTCTCTCTCCCCATATATATGCACGTACACTAAACTCCATCGAGAAAAAGAAATCGTAGATGTGTGTGTGTGTATACATATATATCCTAATCTCCATATAGAAAAAGAAATCGTGGATGAATATATGGTACAATGTACCAACCAAATCATGTTGTTCAATTTGCACGATTAATGTCACCAGAGGTGGGCCGTTTCATTTCGGTTCTCGAGACGGGACGGCAAAAAAAAAAAAACATATTACTGATTTTTTTTTAAATTCACCTATATTTTTAACCCCAATAAATCTCCCAAAAAAATCTAAATAAATACCTCTCCTCGTGATTGGATTTGAATCCAAGATAAAAATAGATTTTGTATATTTTTTATCAGTAGACCATCTAATCTTGGATAAAATACCGATTTGCAATAAAACGGTCGAAAAATCAAGAATGGTTACTGTTGAGTCTTCAACAAAGTTTCTGAGCGAAGTAGAAGGTTTCGAAGCTTCAGTTTTGGTCAGAGGGTTCAAAAATACGGAGGGACATTTTGGTAAAATGCCAATGCTAGAGATTATGAGATTATGGTTTTTTCTCATTCTATAATGTGTTCTGCGTTTTCGGTTTTTGGTTCTCTCTCTTTTTCGGCGGAGACATTTTCGTTCTCCGTGAGTCGGTACCGCTTTCCGGCGGTTCTCCGACGGTTTTGTCTGTTGTAAACCATAGCAAACGTTGTTCTCTTTCCGAGACGTAGGTACCGAGCGTTAGAGCTCGGTACTGAACTCGTAATCCGCTGTGTCGTTTTTCTTTTCTGTTCTTGCGAGATCTGAGAGATTCGGTGAGAGTTCGAAAGGCCAATCCCTTACAAGTGGTATCAGAGCCCGGTTTGTGTTGTGAATTCCTGAGATCTCAACAGCGAATCTAATTCCGAAGAGATCGATTCTAGGGTTTGCACAGCGGATGTAAAACAAAAATTTTCTATAAAACCCTAAAACCATGCATGTATGAATCGTAGAAATGCTTAGAATGCTTATCTCAATCGATCCAGGGCCTGTATCAATTGATGTGTTCGTCCGATCACAAAAGGGAGGAAGATTACCTCGCCCTCTACACGTATCCACACCTCGGGATGGATTCTAACGATTGGAACTTGTCTGCTAAGACCCGAATCTGTTGTTCGGTTATGTGCTATGAGAAAACGAGATTTAGATCACTTCTTAGATCCTCAAAGCTCACAAAGATGTCTGTAGAAGTTCTATTTTTCGGCTCACCTCTATTAGGGTTTTTAATCTCTTTCTTCTAAAGTGATTAACCCTAATTTCGGTTTATTTTCGAAAAATCCGAAAGCCGCAATGGACGCTCTAGATTTACACGTCTGTTCCAGCACGGCAGAACGGACAGTCTGGGTCTGGCGGACCGTCCGTTTCAGACACTCCGGAATGGACGGACTACAACCTCTGGACCATCGGATCTAGACGTGCTGGACTGTCGGGTCTGGCCTTTCTGGTCCGTCGGGTCTGGAACTGATTGATCGTTGGGTCTGGCCCTTCTAGTCCGTCGGATCTGGACCCTCTGTCTCGGTTTTTCGCCGTTTTCTCGTGCATTTGTCCTTCCCTGCGTGTGTGACCCTGTAGGTTCATCCGATATAATAGTATATACAAAATCTCCATTTCGGGTATACAAATCATAGGCGGTCTCTAGCAAGACACTATGACTACCTATCTCGAATATAGTTTGTTCGTGATCTTGCGAACGTCGGTGATGATTCCGATTTATGATCCTTTTGTATCACTGTTGGTTGTAATGCTCTAGGATGATCCGTGATATGACATTTTGACTTTGTATTGATTCATTGATTTATGAATGCATTACATTCCCGTTACATGACTGGCATGTTTGTTATATTTCGGTATCCTTGAATCATTACAGAATGATTCTAAACTCCCTAGTCAGTCAATATTGTGGGAACAATGTTGAATTAAGACTAGCATGAGGTGTGATCGATGCATTGGATGCATGTCACAATCATGGGTACTCGTTGTGAACGAGTGACTGGATGACCCGCATGAGATTGTCACATGGACAGAGTCATGACTTGAATCTCATAAAGCGGTTCGTTCTTGGATCCTCAGACCTGAGATGTCTAGAGTATCTGATATGAGGAGTGGCATGTCTTGACTGCGTCAAACGTCGTCTTTAACCGGATGATTATAACGGCGTTGATCAGACACGTTCACGAATCATATGGAGATAGTAGACATGCAATATGAGACTTGTCACCTCCTTAACAGGAGAGATATCGCTGGGCCCTCTCGTGGAAGTCGGACTATGAAAACGCGTGGCCACGCTATAGATGAAGTTGCATCTATTTTATTAGTCGAATTGCCAAGACGAGAAAGCAGTTGAACTTGAAGGGTGGCTCAAACCATGCCCTTGTTCAACTTATGATATCGTGAGACAAAGGATCAGAATTCGAGCTGTTAATACCTTGGTTAGATCACCTCTAACTCAATTCTAAATGGGTGGTCATGGCGTCTTGCTAGAGGCCAACCATGACTTGTGGTTCGGGAAAGGTTCCTAAAGTCACTACCACTTAGAATGGGCCTACAAGGTCACACACCAATAGGGATGGACTTATACGTGAAGAATACAAAGAATGGAAACGAGATTTGACCGAAACAAGCATGAAAAGGAGTTTTCAGTGCGTTGGTCCGGAGCTGACCAAGTTTGGTCAGCCCCGGACCAAGTCGGTCAGCCTAGGAGGTCCGGAAGTCAGGCAAGAGGTCATCTGTCCAAGTCTGGTCCGCAAGCCTTCAAGTCTGGCGGACCGCGAGCCTCGGACTAATCTTGGTCCGCCGGACCAAGCTCCTGGTCCGGCGGACCGGGATCCGGAATATTTCCAAAATTCGAATTTTAGGGTTTTCTAATCTTATTTAAGTTTAGGGTTTCGTCTAAACTTAATACAAGAGCCGACCTAAAACTCAGAGAAACACCCAAGAACCCTAGAGAAGCTGTTCTCTTGGATTTCTATTGTCCCGGGATTGGATCTCGTCTCTTGAGTTACCCTTTTCTTCACTAATCCTAGCAGATTCGTTCCAAACTGTTTGGAATCCTTCCCGTCGGTGTGGATACGTGTAGAGGAGCTGTACTTTCAGCTCTTGGTGATTTAGAACAGGCCCCGGATCGAAACAAACTTCAAGTCTCATCGAGAACGAGGTAAGTAACGATTCCCTCGGTGATATACACGATCTTTCGGGTTCTGCGGTTTTGGTTGCGTGTGACGTTTGACTAGGTTTAGATTTTTCTTCCGCTGCATGAAACCTAGTAAACCAAACCCTAGATCGATATGATCGCATGCTAGGAACCCGTAGATTCCCCAACAATCACGATATCATATGTCGAACATAAGGCATGGAAAAGCCATCTTAGCTGATTCGACTGCTTTCTCGTTCACAAAGTTTGATTGCACGAAATAGACGACGCTCATCTATAGTACGACCACACATTTCTACAGTCTCACTCACACGAGGGGTCCAGCGATATCTCTCTCTTTGACGAGAGGTACAAATCCCATCTTGACTATCCACAATCCTGCACATGATTCGTGTCGTACTTGATACACGCCTTTATAGTCATCCTGTTATGCAGGACGTTTGACGCATTCAAAGTACGCAACTCATCATGTCGGATTCCGTAGATATCTCATGTCGTAGGATCCAATCGTAGAACCGTCACATGAGATTCAAGTCATGACGCTAGTCCATGTGACAATCTTATGCAGGTCAATCCAGTATTTCGTTCTCCAACGAATACGTATGATTGTGATCATATCCAATAGCTATGTGTTGGGATTCCTGGGATCTCTAGAGCGAATCCTATTCCTAAGAGATCGATTCTAGGGTTTGCGCAACGGATGTAAAACAAAAATTTAATAAACCCTAGAACCATGCTTCTTTGAATCGTAGAAACGTTAGAACGCTTACCTCAATCGATCTGGGGCCTGTATCAATTGAAGAATTTGTCTGATCACGAAATGGAGGAAGAATACCTCGCCCTCTACACGTATCCACACCTCGGGATGGATTCCAACCTTTGGAACTTGTCTACTAGGACTCGAATCTTCTATTCGATCATGTGCTTTGAGAAAACGAGACTTAGATCACTTCCTGGACCCTTTAGACTCTCCAAAAGGTCTACTTAAGTTCTCCTAGTCGGCTCTCCCTTATTAGGGTTATTAATCTCCTTTCCATAAATTGATTAACCCTAATTCCGGATTTTAAAATTAAATCTGAAACGTAGACCGAACGGACTGCTAAGTAGTCCGTTCGGTCTGGACACTTGGTCTGTTTGGACCAGCACAAAACACAGTCCGTTCGTTCGGACTGGTCAGTCCGTTCAGTCCAACACTTGGTCCGTTCGGACTGATCCTCTAGTCTGTTCGGTCCAACAATTTGATCCGTTCGGACTAGATGCTCTGGTCCGTTCGGTCCACTCCTGGACCGAACGGTCCGGACCTCGTGTCCAGGTTTCTCGACGTTTTTCTCGTGC